GCGTGCACACTAGCCTGTGAAAGAAGATTCCAACGAAATACCATAGATAATGCACAACTAGCATATGATTGGAGCATATATAGAGTATTTTCATGTTCAAGCTCTATAATGTAAAGTAAGCCATGATGAAGAAATGTACTCCAATATGCATAAGAAGCACTAGTTTTTAGAAGATTGGCAACCGCAGCTACATCGTGTTTCACATTTTTAATCCCACGAGGGATTGCGCTAACAGCTTTTCTTTCTGAAGAAAAGGGTTTAAAATGAAGTAAACATATTCTATATCTATATATGAAATTATACAAGTGATGATGGTCGTGTTTTTACAGATAGTCCATGGTAAATTTTCATTGCATAATTGTTCACAACTATGATACAAGTGGCCATTGTACCATGATTGTGGTCACTTGCACCAAGTGTTACAGATAGACACAGGTGAATTTCCGTTTCTACACCCTATCCTTTCAGTCTAGGGAATAAAGATGGTGTAAAGTTTAAGCTGTTAAACCACATCGATTTTTATTAGCTATTCGTTTTGATTTATTTACCATAAAATCACTTCATGACACACGCATTAATATTACGGCACATTTTTGCAACTCGAGCATTTTTGATTGAATCAACAGAACGAAACAAAACTCGATATGAGAACTTTTTTTTCTCACTCTGTGCTTGAGTCATGTTCTCTCTGAGAAATTCTCCAGTGTGTGATTTCTTTGAGTATATTCCAAGCTGGGAGAGATTTTTTATATTTTCCACCTCCTGTCAGCGTACAGTATTTATACCACACCAATTGACTGACTCTTCAGCAATAATAAACAATATTATATTTCTCTTTTAGCTGGTGAAGTTTAAGGGAAACAATATGTGGACAACATATACCCATTGGTGTATCCATATGGTATTTTCATATTGATGAGACATTGATTATTGACAGTCTATCATTTCTACATGGATAACAATATTTTTTTTTCAGATTCATTTGATTTTGTCACTCATAGTGTCAAATAACTTCTCACATATTCACAGGAAACATTTGCTTTAATAATTATTATCAACTATAAAACAATGTCAAAAGGACGAAAATGTATGTTTCATGCTCATTGTATTTAGTCATTCAATTTACTTTTTTACTTATTTAGCTCGAGCTGATTTGAACTCAGCTACATCATCCAAACCATCGATTGAACCAAATTCTCCCCAAAAGGATCTATCGACAAGTCAAGCTACAGCTTCTGGACGATCACAGAGTGAATTTCCTACACCAGTCGAAGCAATGGCTAATCTTTCGATGCAATCGACTGAGTCTAAACAAGACAAAAACGTTCGCTCGCAAACCGAACCTCAAAAAAAACGACGATATGGTGTGTATTCGGTCGTACCTGATTCCGCTGTACTAAAACCTATTAGCCGTCCTGATGATCAGGGCACTATTGGCAAAGCTATTGAAATTTATACAAATCATTTTCCTGTTTCCATCGATGATGCGATTATCAACCAATATGATATGGAAATAGTGATGGTGCGTGAAGGACGAAAACTTTGTCCAGCAAAGAAAGACGAACGTTGGGAAGTATTACAGAAACTTAGTAAACATGAAAAGAATTTCCCTATTGTTTGGTAAGTTCTTTTCATATTGAATATCGAAATTTTCATTTTTTTTAATTAGGTACGATCAAGGAAAACATTTGTATACAAAAGAATTATTGACAGATTTTACAACGGCTCGTCGGGTTAAACTAACGATTAATAACGAAGAAAAAATCTTCGAATTTAAAGTGCTCAATCTTGTACGACAAGAAAAAATTGGAAATATTTTCGATTTTATCCGTGAAAAAACCGCAATACGACCACGTGATCCTATACGGATCATAGAAACTTTATTTAAACAAAGCGTACATAATGAATATGTTTGTATACGCAATAAATACTATGATCGATGTCAGAAACTAACTGATCTAGGTTAGTAGTCGTTTAAAAAACAACTAAAATTAGCATATAATCATTACAAAAATATTTAGGAGATGGACGCGGTTTAGCAAGTGGTTTTCATCAAGCACTTTGCTTGACTCGAGGTGGTCCTACGATCAATGTCAATTTAGCTTTCACGTGCTTTTATCAACCTCTAAATTTCGTCGAATTTGCCTGTCGATATTTACGCCAAGACATTAGACAGGGAGTAAACAAAGCTGAATTGGAAGGTATGGAAGAACTGTTTTGGAATTTGCCAAGTATGACGGATAAAAACTGTTTCGATTGACTTTAGAATATTGTTTTTTTTTTCAATTTTATAGTAAGAACCACCCATGCAAGACGTTCTATTCAATATCGACTAAAACGTTTTGATCTACCGGCAGACAAACTCACATTTGATCTAAGACACGCCGATAATTCAGAAAGTGCATCACTACAAAAAGAAACTACTGTAGCGGAGTACTTTGAGAAGAAATATAAAAAACTAGCGTATCCGCATTTGCCATGTATTG